TTTGTAACAAAATATCGATTTCTGCTGTCCCTGTATCGATACATTATTAGCAAACAAAATATCACGATACTACACAGTATCGATTTTTTCCCCCCACCCCTAATGTCGGATGTGCCACGCAATGCTCAATTTGTGGGAACTAGTGCGTTAGCGCAGTTAGCCGTTTACGTGTTGACGCCGTCCAGCCCCACGCACGGGGCGATCCGCGGTAACTTGTTAACGGAGATTTGACGCGTTATGGTGTTAATGTCATTTTAACAAGATTAACGCCGACAGCACTAGTGGGAACAACGAATATGACTGCAAATTTACACCGACATCATCCTAGTGTAAAGACAAGTGGAAGCAGGCAAAAACAACAAGCACGCATGCTACAAACTTTAGCCAAGTCATTTAGACAGCCTTTAGCACATGATTCTCCTTATGGGGACCTGATATGTTTAATATGCTGCTGAGAATATACCCCAGAAGAAGGCTATAGTATAGCTTTTATTTTGGAAAGAGCCATTCCTCTGTAATAAACTCTCTTTTCCAAAGATGAGGGATTTCTCGATCAGATAGATTTATTTATTTATTTTTTATTTTGTTGTTTCAGCAACATTAAATTTAACCGAACCGAACCGTGAATTTTGTGTATCGTTGCACCCCTAATAAAATATATGGGGTGCAACGATACACAAAATTCACGGTTCGGTTCGATACTTTGGTGTCACGGTTCGATATTTTTTCGATACAAAAAATGTTCATGCATTTTTAATTTGTCATTTATTAAAATTATAAATATATTTTAACTCAAAAGTACAGTTTTTAAATTTAACCCTAACCCTTGTGCGTGTTTTTTATTTTGACAGCGAATGCGCACCTGCGGACCACTTATGTGCAGCCCTGGTTATTTAGCTTGTCATATTGCAGCCACAGAAATTATTTTGTCCATGAAACCATAAAGCTGCACTTTCTTTTTGCCTTATAGTCTGATTTGTCATAACTTCTCCGTTTTGTGGTAAGCTTTTCTTTGGCTGTCACCTCTTCACCCTGACCTGTCTTATTTGGCTCAGCAGAACTAAAATGCTTTTACACACGCACTCACATAAGCTCAGCGATTCTCTGCGCGATCAACCTCTCACATGTTTAAGCTTGCTGCGGGAGATTTCACTTGTCATATTTGCATAGTAAGCTAACGATTAATAAGACGATGTCAGAGGAATTGGTGCACAAATTATCATCACTCACAGATCAGTGCTGTCGCTCTCTATACACAGTTTGCACGATTGCAAAGTGAAAGCAAAAACAAGCGCAAATTCAAACGCGACTTCAATATGTCACATATTGACAGTGGCTCACCGATGCCAATGACATAATTACCCAGCTACATTTCTGAAAGAATGCAAAAGCATTGACATATATTTTTCCTACAATAGCCCGACGGGCAGGGCAGAGATAGATTTTGGTAGCCCGACTGAAAAAGAAATCGCTAGCTTCGGGACGTCGGGCTAGCGATATTGCAAGCCCTGTATCTGATTGAGGAATCACTCATCTTTGGAAAAGAGAGTTTATTACAGAGAAATGGCTCTTTCCAAAATAAAAGCTATACTATGCGCTTCTTCTGGGCTATATTCTCAGCAGCATAAGGAGAATCATGTGCTAACAGCGGTCTAAATGACTCGGCTAAAGTTAGTAGCAGGCTTGCTTTTCTTTGTCTGCTTCCACTTGTCTTTGCACTAGGATGATGTCGGCGTAAATGTGCAGTCATATTCGTTGTGTTCCCACTAGTGCTTTCAGGTTAATCTCGTTGAAATGACCTTAACGCCACAACACGGCAAATCTCCGTTAACGAGCTACCGCCGATCGCTCCGTGCATGGGGCTAGACGGCCAACACGTTAACGAGCTAACTGCGCTAACACACTAGTTCACACCAATGTAATTGAGCATTGCGTGGCACATCCAACATACTGTTTTACTTTAGTCCATGACTCGCTTACCTTCAGGGTCATACGTCACATGAAAACCAAAATAATTCCAAACGCCAGATCTGAATGAGGTTCAATTTGCCTGTTGCAAGGAGAGCTTAACTTCTGTCTCGCTAGCTTGCCCTGCGCTCTTCCTTCTGACTATGCTGTCTGTGTTGAGCGCTCAGTGGATCTGCGCTGGACAGTGCAGCCTAGGCGGAGTAGTCGAACACAGATTCACTGAGCGCTCAACACAGACAGCATCGTCAGAAGGAAAATTGATAAAATTACAAATGTTGTATTGTTCGATACATATGCGTACCGAACCGAAAGCACTGTATCGAACGGTTCAATATCGATACAAATATCGTTGCACCCCTAATTTTTATATATACACTTTAGTGACTTCAAAATACAGCATGTTATTTCTTAGTTTTAAGTAAACTACCACATACTGGTTACAAAGACATGAGGCAATTTCTCCCCTAGCTCACCTATAGTGGTGAATGTCTTCAAAGGACTTGGTATTGTTGATGGCAAAGACACAGAGGAAACCCTCCCCTGTCCTCATGTATTGATCCCTCATGGCGCTGTACTCCTCCTGACCTGCTGTGTCCAGGATGTCCAGTAGACATGTCTCTCCGTCAATGACTACCTGCTTTCTGTAAGAGTCCTGGAAGCAAAACACATGAGAATCCTGGAATTTAGCGGTTTTAAGAGATGTAATACAATGAGATGATAGCTTATTTAATAATTTTTAAATAGATTTTAAGTTACTCTAAATGTGTTGGCTGAGTGTGATTTACCGATGATATCGCATTTTTAATCTAATAATTATGATACTTAAAGTTATGAGATGATTTCAATAAAAGATACCACAGGGCATCTTCTGTTCATTACACCAGTAGGGCACTTCATTTTTCAGCAGACCTCATATTACAATGAGCTCATTTCTACCGTGTCGACGTACTCCAGCTTTTTATTACACTGATAACTACACTCAATCCCATCTAACACAAATAATTACTCTTTGCTCCAGTGAACAGCCATACCTTTGGATGCCATCTTCTATTTAATCTATATCAATGGTCTAACCTCCAGCAACAAATCAATAATTGATTGAAATCATGATGGGACTTAGTTTGATCACTGGCCTTTTGAGAGCTCGGGCAGGAAGACATCCATTGAAAGTTCTAGAAAACCTGTTTCGAGTCTCTCTTTTAAGCTTAAACCAGTAAAACCTGTTGCAACTCATTTTTGTGAATATATACACATATATATAAAAACAGGACTTACAACTTGTGCTGCCCCCTTTCATATGTCGACACATACACAAAGACACAGGAACAGAAACATTCTATATTTTTCCTTTACCTCAATGGTGGGGTCATATTCATCCACGAAGTGATTCTGGATGAGCTGAATGGTAAGTGCGCTTTTGCCAACGCCACCAGCTCCCACCACAACCAGTTTATATTCTGTCATGATTCACCTGCAAGTTAAAAAAAAACCAAAAATACAATCTCATTATATGATTATCTTCAGTGAAAGTCAAATGGAAAGTATTAGTTTATCTGGTGCACAATCAATGCCTCGTGCATTTTCCACTTAAAACAATTTTACAATCTAATCACATTCAAACATTGTCATTTCTGTACAACAACCCGTTTGTTTACTGGAAATCTGCACACTCAGGACTGGCAGAATGAGAAGATATTAATATATGAACACCACTTCCAGTGAGTAACTCAACTCGCCCTCAGCTATTCGTTTAATAACACACCTGAATCACTGGGAAATTAGATTTCACACCAAGTTTAGTTTGCTTTTCACAGAGAAAATGCCCATTTTAGTATTAACCAAGAGGCTTGTAGAAGAAGCTTGCCACAAACACAATAGATGGTTAATCTGCATGTGTTTGTATGCAAATGGAGGGTATAAACAGAAAAAACCCAAATGGATTCACAAAAAGCTGCTAAATTATCAAATATTCTTTAAATAATCAATTGAAATTGCTGTCTCTGAAAATTGTCAGAAACATCAAACGTGAAATAAAATGCATAAAGATGAGATTATGCGTATATATAATTAAATGTCTAAATTCAGTAGTGTTTTCTGAGTGACAGCTCCACAACAGACACCAACCCCAGGCAGAAATCCATGACATTACATTAAGGCTCCAAAATTGACAGGCAACTGGGAGGGTCTCTGCTGTCTGTCTGCTGTGTGGAGCGGAACACATCAATAGTAGTTGCTGGTCTTTTCAGAGGCTACAGCACAGAAAGCTCAGCTGAGCCTGCAGTCAGGGAGGAGTGCCACTAAATATTATTGCTATGTCTAGAATGATATGCATTTGCCCAACTACTAATAAACTAGTTTGTGCTCACAACACTTTTCTTTATAAAATTGTCCCCTATTATTTCATCTACACACTAAGTGATTTACACATGTCATTGATGAGGATGCCATCTGTAAAGAAACAACCTCATCTTTAACCCGAACAGACAAGACCAATTCCAGTGTCAATGGAGATTCCTCTGAGTGTGCCACATGGCTTTCACGTCTATGCTGTCACTTTGCAGCATACTAGTCAGTGAAAGTGGAAAATGAATGAATACAGCAAGCTGTCAAGCAACAAACAACAATTTAAAAATAAGGAATGTAGCTCTTGTACTCCAGTAAGAAAATATAATTTGCGTTTTAAGGATTGAGATTCTTTTTTTTATTTTTTAATACAGTGAATGATATCTGCTTCAAACTGTGGCAAAGTTTTGAAGCTGTGGAAGGTCGATGGAAACCTTATTTCCTTAAGATAGGAGTGTGCCACTCGTGGCTGTAGCTTGCCTTAAACTGAACCCATTAATGGCATGCAGTGCATCCAACTTTATGTTGACATTCCTGAAATCAAGGACATTCCCAATAGAGGAAGAAGAAGAAAAAAACCCACTGAACTGAATATCACTGCGGGAGAAAAAAAAATATCACCTATTACACAAGAAGACTTGTCGATATTTATTAGCAAACATATCGTTATGCTAGTTTGGAACGGTTAGCCGGCTACGTGATTTAGCTTTTCGATGAAAGACCACCTATCATGCTTCAACAGGTAGAAGCATCAGTAGCATACTTAAAAGTCAACAGGGATTTTGATTTAAATTCACCGCTTTGCGACTACAGGGTTACCATAAAGGCTGTGTGAAACCGTCTGAGCACCGGGCTGCTGTGCTGCTAGCAAGCTTAGCATTGGAGCTCGCCAACAGCCTCGAAAGTAAACTCACCATGAGACCACATCAGCTAACTTAACGTATTATAAAAATGTAATTCATTAAAAGGAGCACTGGCTGCACCGCCTACCCCGACACACTCGTTATCATTCATTCAAAGGGGAAGGGTGCCAGATTTTGAAGCCGCCATTGGTAAGCTAACTCACAGGTCTGCGTTGCAGGGCCAGACGGTAGGTTAACAATTGGGCGTAGTTAAGTTCAAAAAACCGAAAATGAATAATACCACTATAGCGGTGTTGTTTATTGTTTAGATAGCGGGCACGGTGACCGACTAACTACATTAGTGAAAACAATGTTTCGACAAGCACTACAAAAAAAGGAAAGGGGGCCCAACATGTAATAATCTCCTCCATTTGTTTTACCTTTTACTGAGTGGAGTTCCGTGTCCGAAGTAGCGACCGAGTCAAGCTGATATTCCTCTCGTTTCACACGATCTCTGCATTTCCTATTTCTCACCAAAACCCCCGCATTTAAGTTGATCTGTCGTCGGTTCACAAGCAAGAGAGAACATGCGAAAAAGTGAGCAAATTAATCGATTGAACTTTCCATTTGATCCAGCGCCCCGGCCTAGCTGCTCCGTCTGGCCTGCTTTACGCGTATATGGGCGGATACCAGGCGTACTTTTACCCATAAACCATAGCAGGATTTCAACCGGTCTGGGGCATTTATCTCTCGATGTGTGTATGTGTCGCAATATGAGTTGTAATACACTGTACTTTGTCATTTGTGTGCGCATTGCGGCTCTTTTACACAGTTTTCATTTATGACTAGATTTATATAAGCACTGATTATTCTACTAGTAGTGGAGATGTTACCTGTCTTTTTTAATTCACATATGTATGTTTTTAAAATTATTATTTTTTAACCAGAGTGAGAGGTTCATATCAATACTTTAATGATTAAAATGATTAATGATTTCATTGATATACCCACAAAGGTCACAATTTGTAGGACTTGTGCTCTGACTGCTGCTGCCTGCAGTCAACAAAGCCTAGGGGGCACTCCACGAGCTTATTTATAGGCTCTAAATATAACTGGAATGTGCAGGACGGACGTCATTCCCAGGCAGGAAAATGATTTGGCAATCCCTTGTCAGTTTTCCTACGTGTTCACAAGGGTTCCTCCTGCGCACTGCATGTGCAGGCGTTCGTAACAAAAGACGGACACAAACCCCAAACTTATGTTTAAGGATAAAAGGAAAGAACAGCATATAGCATGTTTTGTTTGTTTCTTGTTTTGTTTTGTTTTCTCTTTTAGTCATGAGGATTATTGCCCAATGTACCAGAAAGGTTGTTTTTAGTGGATTCTGTCTGGGACCTTATACTAATAACATTAAATAAATAACATGCAACAAACATAATACGTTCTTGTACCGTAAAATAATATGACGTTGTTTTTAAAACCCAATGCATTGCTTTCACATTGTACAACAGACACGCTAGAGGGCACTATTGAGCTCTCAATTCCATGTGCTGCTGGATTTAGAGATCATCTGTGAAACAAATGTGTAAATTGAGAATATCTGAATCACTTTTTCAATTTTTAATGACTTTTTCATTACTTTAAAAGATGCCAGGTCAGAGAGGTACAGGTAAGAGGTAACTTTACAGCTGAAAAAGACTATAATCAAATGCTCAAACGTATTAAGGTCGCATCATTCATTATACTGTGAGCAAATAACAGTAATTATCATAATCTGTGCCTGGAATTTTACATTAGTGTCAGAGAAAATGCTGCATTGTATCTACATCTCAAAAAAATATACAGTGTGTAAAACTAAGGAAGTAGTTAAAAGAGAGAACTCTTAAGTTCCCTCTTTTCAAAGTCATACACGGTTCAAATGTTAATTGAACAAAACAAAAAAAACCTCCTATCTACCAACGAAACTCTAACTATAGTATCACCATTGAACTACACATATCAAAGGCACTGTTATTTGCAGACATGAGAGCAAATTTTGGACAAAAAGTAATTTCCACAGTGACAGGCATGTTCCAGCCACATGTTCATCAGTAAAATCACGTCCATAAGTTTTTGGACAAAGATACAAATTTTTTAATTTTGATGGACAATTGTCATATTAATGAAACGCTTTAATTCTTCAATAGTTAATGTCTTTTTTCTTTTTTTGCTAAGCTAAAAATCTGTACTCAAGTCACATCTCGATTGTTTGATTTAGATTCTACAGTGGTGTCACACAGGGGCAAAACTACAAAAACCAATGTGTCACTCTCCAAGTATTTAACTGCACATTAAAGAAGCTTCTGTGCTATGACACATTTTACTCAATTTGAGCACTCAAAGCACTTTTTACTTAAGTCTCGTTCACACCTCACTTTTATATATGACTAAGGAGTTCTTGTCTAACAGTCACACACACACAGTCCAACTGATACAAGGATATCTCAACACATGGACTAGAAGAGCCGGGAATCAACCAAGCGACCTTCTGATTAGTAGATGGTCTGAACTACCGCTGACCCCCACATGTAGTGTCTCATTTCTGAGAACAAAATCATCAATCCTTCCAGGGCTGGATTAAAAAAAAAAACAACAACAAAAAGTGTTCCATAACTTTTTAGATCAGTATCCTATATGTTGGTCCTACAGTCAAAGTACCCTAGTACCCAAGTCCATATCAGAATTTTAGCACCTAGCCATTGATCATAGGGTTGCCTTGTGCAGCTGGTGATATATCCAATGAAGAGACACCTAATGTAGAATAAAAAGCTTGTGTACAATAATCCAAGAATATATATATACATATATATATATATATATATATATAAATTGGAAAATTGGTTATTACAAAAGCGATTATGCACATCAGTAAAATAAAAATGTATACATTTATACCAAACCTCTGATGAAGTAATGTAAACCTCACCAGACGTGTTGGTTAAGAGCACTTAAACCACTGATTGCACCACTTCTCTGTCCTTAAGAATTTAAGAGGAAAGTCTGTTTTGTCACAAGAGGGCACTAAGCCTCCGTTTATACGCGGTCTCACTGCTGTAGGCTCATCTTCATCATTTGCATCAGTTTGAATGCATCTACATGCTGTGTATTTGCAAGAAACTGAGGGAATGTAAATGCAGCCTACAAATTCATTCACGTGATTTCTAATGTGAATATTTGACAGTGTAAATGATGTTGTTTGAAAATAAAAGTGTTCAGAGCACCAATTTGACTTTTTTTCAGTTAGATGATACAATGATGATTTATCAGCTCTTTATGTGAGCTTGCCTTTATGGTGTCTCAACAGAACTGGAAGTAAAACACGATGGTGTTTAAATGTCTATTTTCACTCTTTTGGTGCAGTCTAACTGTAGTTCAAAGCTTTTTCGCTCTCTCACGGGCAGATTTTCAGTCACAGCCTACGCGACATCCCCCCTTATCCCAGTATTTCCTTATGTAAGAAAACCCTGCATGATATCTTTCTTCTTCTTTTAAAAAGTCTGCGGATCTGTAAAAGTTGGCTGGAAGTCATCCTCCCCCTCACAGTGTATTGCAGCTTTAAAACAGTCCACAATGCCTTGCGGTGCGTCCCAGTTCCAATGCGATGTATTTACCAGCAGGAGTAATGAAACGGGGGAGAGGGGCTTTTTCCGCAGCTTATTGGTGAGACCGCAAAAGACTGTGTGCCTAGAGAGGACTGACACAAACTTTCGGACCGCGGATTGAAGCGACAGTTCATCTGTTTTCGGTGGGTTTCCTTAGCCTCTGTTTTTTTTCTGTTTTCGAAACGTGACTTTGTCGCAGTTCGTTGGTAGTGATTTACTGGGCAATGCTGAAAAAGGAGGACGAATTTTGCGGAATTCTCTCCTCTACCTGTGTTTTCCCTCTAAACTTCAGTCCGGACAGGAAGGACTAACTTTAATCCAGCAAAGGTAAGACCGTTACGCAACGTTGATTATTCGCAGATTGCGCCGCAGCTGAGCCCGCTGTAGTTGCGTGTAAGGCGGAGATAACGGAAACATTTCTGTAGTAGAATTTAGTTAGACAGCTCAGGACCCACTACAGCCCACTATCGCCATTTCTCGGGCTTCCTCCCACTCAACACCCACTACAGCTCGAGCTACACAAGCAGCTAGAAGGTGCTTGTTTTTGAGGTGTTTCAGCTCACAATGCTCCTTGCGTTCTTTCGTGTGAATTTTAGAAATATTGTCAGTTACAATCATGTGACGTGCTCAAAGTCTATGTTTGCCCGTGTTGTGTTGGCTTGCCCCGGGTTTTTCCACAATATCGGGTAAGCTGCAGCTTCTTCTGCAAATATGTCAAGCTCGTATGGTCTCAAAAGTATGTCTGCATGTTTAATAATTTAATAATCTGCATATAGAGCCACTTGGTTTATTGTGTCTAAAGCTCCAGTGCTTTAACCACTTTGACACACACACACACCAAGTGCAGTAGAACCAACCTGTAGAGTTGTTGCACTTGCACAATGTCTTATTCTCTGCAGCCTTGGAGCATTACTTGGGTTTTGTAGCGGAATCGAGTCATTTGGTGGTCTTTTCTGCATTCTATAAAGAACCATGAAGACCAGGCTGAAAACAACCACCTACAGACTGGAAAAAAATGTATATAATTGGCACTTTTTTTTTCGTGGCTGCCACTTCAGTTGCTACTGCAAAAACCATTTGAGTTCTATAAACGCATACGCAACAGTTTGACTCACAGCTGCAGCTTTGCAAACCACAGTAACGTGTAAAAGAAATTGGCCAAAGGCCTCTGGTTGCCCCGCTGAGCCGCCGCTGTGCTGCCCTGCTGCAGGAGCCTGCTGCTTGGCCCTCTGGCTCTTTAAAGCTGGCTAGTGAGCAGAGAATATGGCAAGGGAACAAAGGCGGCATTATTGCTGGCTGAACGTGCTGTCCAGATGTTCCAGATTCTGCCAGCACTGACCTCCCAAATGGGGGAGGTTGCTTCAGCGCTTAATAGTTTAATATCAACCAGACGGAAAAAGAGAGAGAGGAGTAGCTCCAGGGCAAGGGGCCACTGGAGACATCCCAAGAGCTGTGGGTGCTGGGTGTAGCCTAACTGGATGGGGGTTTAATCCCAAACTCTCCTATCTTCAGAGCGAAAACACGAATTCTGAGGAAGTGCTTGAAACATTTTTGTCCTTATTTTTGGGGTTACTTTGGTGGCTTGGGGCATTTACTTAAGGCACACACATTTAAAAAGCTTCACATGTAATAAGTATGTTGAATGCAATCCATTATCTTCTGCTACGTTTTCAGCGGATTTAGTATAGGTGCAATAAATGGACAACAACCATCAATTGGGAATCCTCAGTTTGAGCCTTGCAAACGCAATTTTTCTGACCTTGTAATTATTATTATTGTAGGTTCATGTTATTTAGGTGCCATTACCTACTGTTGTATTTTCCATAGCCACCAGTATCACTATGCAAAGGACCCCATAGCTTTCTTATCTCTTAGTCACGGCCTATTGGATTCTCACAGCCCAGGAATGCATACCCTGTATGTTATCAGTTTTCACTCTCCAGGATCAAGGCTTTTCTCTGGTCCTTACCATGTTCTGTGATGTTTACAGTTGCACAGGACATTGTACACACTCTAGGCTGGCATATCTGTGAACAGGAACTTCTTTATCTGGTCATCA